TTAAGTCTAGCTTTTATTTTTATTTCAGTTAACTAAAGTCACACCTAGTTTTAGTTAACTATAATAACCTTGAAGCCTTCCTCGTAAAACATTTGTAAAGGCTGATTTTTAGGTGATTATTATGTGATTTAAAGGTCCAGTGTGTAACATTTATTCTCTATTGTCATTTATTGTCATAAATGGAATATAATATTCATAGGTATGTTGTCATTATCTACAGACACAGGTTGCATACCATGGAGTCCGCAGTAGAAGTTCTACAGTAGCCCAGAACAGACAAACCAAACACTGGATCTTGATAGGGGTGTGTGGGGTGCATTTTTGCGCACTTCGTGGCCACCGTAGTTTCTCCTTCACGCTTGGAATCACAAATTTGTTTACTTTAGATTTGCCTCGACAAAATCAAAAAAGACTTGCAACTCGACTTGGACTTAAACACTAGTGACTTGTAACTTGACTTGGACTTGGACTTGAAGAGGGCCCAGAAGAGCTGAAGGGAACTGCAGAGTTGGGTGATCACTTTTCTGTAGATTACACAAGGAGATTTGATCCATTTTTGATATAGAAAGGATTTGACACATTACTGTTTGTAGTTGCTTTGACGTCACATGAATGCCAACTAAACTTCTGGGTTTGAAAACTTTCCCCCAACTCCCCTGCTGTCTTACTTCCTGCTCAGTTATACGTTGATATGTCTGGAATGCAGCTTCAGTGTCTCATAAGGGTAGGGAACAGGTCCAGACATCATTTTTTTCCTGGATCATTATGATGGCATATCTGCCTTCATCAGACAGTTGATGCTGATAATTAAAAGGGAAGTACAAGAAAACAGTGGAGACCAGATTCAAGGTTCGAACCAAGGACTGTGTGGGAGCTACTTTATCCACCTTTGACCTCTAAACCTAGACCAGGCTTTTTTTCTAAAGTTTGAATCCACCACTTTCTGTGCAGGGTAAAATATCCAACACATTATATAATGTGGTGAAGTAGTGTAAATCTGCAGCATTTTGAGACAGAATTTCATTGCAGTCCATCCAATAAATGTTGGGATATTTTAGTTTGGACCAAAATAGTAGACTGACTGACACTGCAAACTAAATGATGGCACTTTTCACTTATATTTCCTGTTGGAACAGGATATTCAAGACAGAACAGAATGAAGGCTCCTTCAAAACCAACCAATGAAATACCGGTTAGGAAGCGAAAGGCAGTTTTGTTTGATTATATATTGGCTGAAAAATGTTAAAAGCTGCAGTGTGTAACTTTTAAAAAAACAATTTTGTGTCATATTTACTGAAACATTCATTATATCCTAGGACATGAGACAGATACTCTCTGAAAAAATCTGGTTCCTCTGGCTCCTCTTAGTGCTCCTAATGGTATTAAGAATCCACCGGGCCTGAACGAGTCTACTGGGAATGAGACTCAACAATTAACTATGTTTCTCTGCTCTGATTGGGTGTTTTTGCTCAGACATGGTGAATTCTTGTAAATTCCATTAAGATCGGAAGAACCAGATTTTTTCCCAAAATTATTTGTCTCATGTACTACTGTCCAGACATAATGAAAGATTCAGCAAATTTAACAAAAAGTTATTTTCATAAAAGTTACTACTGCAGCTTTAAATGCCAACTGATGGACTGAAGGACTGAAGGACAAGATAATCAGCACTATGTCACAAAATATATGATGCAATGTTGCATCAGTATTGTAATATTCGGTATGAACATCTATGACCTTTTTTTGACCTATTTTCAATCAGCTAAAACACGGTCATAAAACACACATTTTTAAAATAATTTTAACAATGACAGACGATATTGATTAGTTTGAACGTATTTCAGTTACATTGCACTGGTAGGTAGCAAAATTGGGTCTACACAAAGACACATCTCAAGGCATTTAATACATCATATAAAATGTTATAAATATTTAACTATATTGACTGTTTGCTGCCACAAAAAAAAAAACAAAAAAAAAACAAGAAGCTTAATGTTAAAGGGCACAGACAGGGCCTTTTGTGTTTTTCATAGTTGTAGTAGTTTCTCCTGTATGCCTGCAACAGTAGGGTGAGGCAAGGGTGTTGCAGTCAACAACCAAACTGCCACTAAATCCTACACACCGGTCCTTTTTAGTTTCTTTTTTTATTGTTAGTGACAGCTGTAAAATGAAAGAGAGGGAATGACACGCAGAAAAGGGACACAGGTTTATTTACAATGGTAGATAAATAAACAAATGACTTTGGAATAACTTCAAGGTTCCAACAGAACAAATAGAACAAGTCTAAACACACTGTAAATTATTAATAAAATTAATAAAAAAAGTAAGTGAGTTATTCATTCACATGAATTAAACCTAACTCAAAAATAATTTGTTGGGGTGCCCGGTTAGCTCAGTGGGTAGAGCTGGCGACCCAGGCTGAGTCCTTGCTGCAGCGGCCCGGAGTTTGAATCCGACCTGTCAACCCCCTCTATCTCTACCCCCCTTTCCTGTCTATCTTCAGCTGTCACTATCATAAAGGCAATAAAAGCCCCAAAAATTCTTTAAAAAAATAAAATAAAATAATAATAATTTGTTAAAGCAACTCAGTTGTTTTAAGTGCACTTAAATTTGTGCAGTATTTTAAGTATTGGTGGTATAACTACAGTTTGTTCCACTGACTCATTCTCTTTAAGTTGACTTTATATCATTACAAAAATGTAAGCCCCAAAGCCCTAAAATTAATTTGCTACCATTTTGATAATTGATTAAGTAAGGGAATGGAAGAAAACTGAGTAAATGCAACTGAAGTGGTGACATTTGTATAAAGAAGATGTATTTAAGTTACTCTTACTTTATTCAGATAAATTCTATTAACATATTTTAAATACCTTTTAACAAGTTTTTAAGGGGAAATGCTGGATATGAGTGTAAGATACTTTTAGTACTAGTTTTTGGCACTGTTAACTTAATTGAATTACCTTAACAATAAACAAGTTACTTGTACTTACAACAACATTTTTTGAATGCTTAAATTGTTGGAGTTAATAAATTTAAACTGTTTAAGGAAATCGGTTTCCAAACAGTTTGCCTAATTACAATAACTCAACTTCCCAAACTTAAATACGCAGGACAAACCAAGATTATTAAAATTGCCAGCCCAGACTCCAAACAGATGTTGCCTTCAGGGTGGTGAGATGACAACAGCAGCAGCTATTTGGGAGGAGAGGGAGATGCAGGTTGGGTGACTCTTGGCTCCTTATATGCTCTGTTGCCATCAGGGAGCCAATTCAGTTCAATTCAATTCAATTTTATTTGTATAGCGGCAATTCATAACAGAAGTTATCTCCGGACACTTTTCAAATAGAGCAGGTCTAGCCGAAACTCCTTATAGCATTTCATTTTTTTCAAGTTCCACCATGAGCAAAGCACTTGGCGATTGGCGGCGTAAGAAAAACTGCCTTTTTACAGGTCCAGAAACCTAGGACTAGCCTCGACCAGTGTGGTGTGAGAGAGAAGAGAGGAGGAGAGATGATTGATGAGAAAGAGAATGGCGGTAAAGACAGGGGAGGGACAACTGAGACAGGAAAGGTAGTCGAACAACCGAAACAGAGACAGTAGCCCATGGGTTGCCTAAGAGCAAGCACACAATCCTTTCATTGTTGTGATCTTGCCTCCGAATGTATTTGCCATACACGCACACACACATACACATACACCTGTCAAAGGCAAATATTGCCTCGGATGTAACCTCCACCATCAATAGAGCTTCCATTGGTTCTACACAAAGGGTTGACCTGGCACCCAATGCAGTCATGGTCTGAAGATCACAGGCATAACTAATGGGACATGTTTTTTTCTTGAACTATGGGAACCTTCAATTGGATGGACATCCTATCATTTTTCCAGGATGTATTTGCGATAAAATTGAAATAACGCATACCAAAATTTGTACAGAGAAAACTAGTCTGTTCTGGTCCCAATGTTTTGGCGAGCTTATTTGACATCTGTTTCTTTTTAATTCTCTCTGTAAACAGCCTAAATACATACAGGACAAGATCAAGTAGATGTCCATTGGCTGCGTCTCCTCTGCTCCTGCTTTCTACACACAGCCCACTTCATATCCCAACGCCTCTACCAGTTATGGAGGTCAGTATGTTGTCTTGTCTGCCTGACCTATTACGCGAGTTCGGAAGATTATACAGTGTCCCAACACAGAACAGGCGTTAAGGGTGCTAGTAACCTTGGGTGGTGACGTTCGCCTAGGGGCGTAGAATGGAGTTAACATTTGGGGGACACATATCGGTTATAGTGTAATCGAAAAAAGCATGGTTCTTTTACAATCATCTTAACTTATGTTTGTCTAAGGGATGTCAATCGGCTTTTGTTCCGTTTACGTTAGATCCTTCAGTAAGGGAATAGTAGCTATTGGCATGCTTCAAAATATGGCAGGACTTTAGAAATCGGACAAAACGATTTAAGACATCTAATGACAGTTTATTTAAGAAAAAGTAAGAACATGATTGTTATCTATTAACATTAACCGATAATGTTCCTCCCCCCAATGTTATAACTCATTCCTACGCCCTGCAGACAGGGCCATTGTCTCCATGGATACATTAACAATGACAATAATTAATATAGTGTTTTTTAGTTCAGTATCCTGTGAATAGACTGAGGTGAGTATGTATTGACTCGCTACTACTCTGTCCTCAAAATAGGTCGTTTATCTTTTTGTAAATTAATTTGTTTATGACTTTATTTGGCTTTACTGTAAATAGAGGACACAGTCATTGAAGGTTATTCAAGCTCCCATCCCTTGGACTATAAATGAGAAAGCAGTAATGAGCAGGATAGAGGAAGAAATAAAGCTTGCCACTCTGACAGACGGCTCCACTAACTTGTGTTTTATTGGTCGTGTGTGAAGATTTTCTGGCTGTGTCAGACCTGGAGGTTGAAGGGCTTGAAACAGAGCGAGTTCGGTCCTCAGTCATTTGAGAGGGGTGATCCTGATAGAGTGAATGTCAAAATGTCTCGATCCCGATTCATCTGGGGACAAGAGCCAGCCTCAGCCGCTGCGCCTCCCCCCGGAAGATGGCTGGTGTTCCCTTGAGGAACTCCAGGAAGAGCTGGAGGCCGGTTCTGAGGAGGAGGCAGGAAGGTAAGCAAATGTCTCATCACAGGCGATGGTCTCGTATATAATGGAGAACCACCTGGTAATTTTTTTTTATTTTAGTTGACTTAAATGGTGACTCTAATGGTTGACTTTGTGTTTGAGGTTATTGGCTGAAGGACGCTTTCTCAACCAGTGGTCCAAATGTGGGATAGGGGTGTGGGAGGACGTTGCTGAGGGTATGCCTTAGCCTCCTTGCGGACAAGGGGCATTCCTCTTCTTTGTCACCATGCCCTCTAGCTCAATTCCTGTTACCAGTCAGTTGAGGTTTCTCTGTAGTTAAGTTATTTCGCTCCTCATGGCTCTGGCCTCAGCACACAGCAGCATAAAAGGTGAAGCGCTGCTCCCCACACAGACTTGATCTAAGAGTCAAGAGATGGCTCAGTTGAAATGGAAGTCATTTACTTTAGAAGGGAATTGATAATGATCTGGATACAAATGAAAAAAGATGAGAGCAAATACTTAACGGCTGTTTAAATCAAAGAAATAAAACCATCTGAAATAAAGAAAAAAATGAAATAAAAGCCTTACTAGCTACTAGCACTAACCAAACTAAAAGACAGCCAAAACAGCCCGTCTACTCTAGTGTAACCATGCAACTAAATGAGTCTGAATTAATCAGGTTTTAGGGGTCTAGGGTATTGATTCTTGCTCTCTTGGGTATGAACAATCCAGGTTTAGATCCTGTACGAGCCCCCCCAATTGTTACACCCCACCCTTTGGTTGCCCTACAGGCACTGCTGACCCAAAACAACCACAAAAAAGGACATCTTTAAAACAACTAAATCTATGGGGTTTATAAACACAAAGAAATACAAACAACCAATACACTAAATCAAGAGTAAATTAAGACACAAAGTAACATAAAATCCCAGACTGAGAGGCACCAGTAGTGCCCACTCCAAAAGTCATTTTGTCATCATTTTGTGTTACTAAAAACATCTTCAACAGAGTTCACACTCTGTTTTTATGCATACCAAAGCTTCAAAACTTGATCTCCAAGTATGCCAATACTTTTAATTCCCTTGCTTTTTTGGATATGTAGCTTTTGTAAGGTTGTGTTATCCTTTGCTAGATTTAGAATTCTCCTTTTAATGCTACAGTTGTGGCATACAGTAATGGGTAATAACAGGTTTGCTGAGTGTACATTAGCTGGAAGGGCTGCTGTGTAATAAAGACTTAAATGAGTGCCAGCTAAGCTACCAACTATTCACCTCAAATCAAGGGTTAATCTCAAGATACAATTATGAAATCACACCCATCCTGCTCTGAGTGAATAAGGGTGTGTCCTTCCACCCAACTTGTTATGCTAGGTCTGATGTAATTATTGGATGTCAACATAAAACTAGACAAATTGCAATGAACATATTGTGCTGTAAACAAGCAGTTTAGGTAGAATCTGTTTTCCTCCCATCCAAAAAGTAATGACTCATTAGAGCAAGTAAAAGCTGAGGGATTATATGAGGGAGTGTGTTGAAACTTCAGTATGAGCCATGAAGTGAATTTTAAAATGTTGGAGTCATCAAGTCAAGGCCTGCTGATATACTATGTGTCAGAGGGCAGTGCATATCTTATTGATTGCACCTTTAGTCTGTCAGGGAACCAGGGGAAAAGCATCCTTTATTTTCTGTTTGATGAACAAAAAAGGTGCTAGTACCCTAATTCAGCTAAACCCAAACCACAACATAACCCTTACCCTAATTGTTGTTTTTCTTTAATTTGGGGTTTTATTTATCCATTTGCAGTGCTGTTCCTCAGCATAGCTGTATGTACGGTTTTATGTAGGGGGCTTTTGGGGGCACGCATCAAAGGTAAGTTATTTTTAGGCAATTATTTGATGACTTGAATGCTCACCAGAGGTGGCAGAGCCCGAAAAGAACAAAGGGTACCTATGTAGACAAAAGTTAGACCGCTAAGTATTGGAGGGCGTATCAACCGAAATAACCCGGTACCAAGGAGTATTGACACTTCTCCAGTCAAACAATACCTTCATTTGATTTGAAAAAAAATGACTGTTTGTATGATTTTGCTGGTTTGGTGTTCTTTAATGTGATGTGGATTAGCCTGTTACCGCAGCTACAGGCAGCAGCTATAGCCAGCAGATACATACATGAATTCGATCAAAGGTGGAACTGAACCAAGAAACAGCAACAGATTATCATGTTGTAACAGTCCAGAATATGTGTGTTCCTGGAAAGCCGTGGACATTAAGGTGACTGGTGACTGGTATTGGTAGTTGTATTGTAATATTTTAAAGGATCCCCATCACTGCCATCATTACGCTGACTCTACCCTCTTTGTCCGCACCCTGCTGCAGTCCCAGGAGGCCCTGGTGCTGAAGCAGCTGGCAGAGAAGAGGGAGCGCGTGCAGGAAGTTCTCTACAAGGCTCGCGAGGAGAACGACATCTTCAGCAAGAAGACGGAGGAGAAGCTTATCCAAAAGATGGAGGTCAACAAGGAGAACCGGGAGGCCCACCTCAATGCTCTCAAACAGCGGCTGCGTGAGAAAGTAAGTCCTCCTTTCTGTGACCATCTGTGCAGCAATATTAATGTTTTGGGGTTTATTAAAAATCAAAGGAGAGCACTATTCACATCCCTCTCCCAAAATGTTGACAGTCGCACTAATTAGACATTATTCCCATTTTCACCATATAAATTGTATGTGTTCACACATAATAACAGTACATTTCGATCAAGGATTGTGCCTTAATGTTTAAGACTGGGCAACTAAAGGTTGGCTGTGGCTCAGGAGGTAGAGCAGTGTTTTCTTGGTGAGCTTCTGAAATAAAGCTATCAAAACCAATAGGTCTTTATGCGATTTTATTTCTTATAAGAAAGGTCAGTCAATCCAACAAAGCATCAGGCAAGTGCTGTTTGGAAAAGACAAAGAAGCACAGAGTAGCAACTACTTTATCACAACTTTAGGGCGGGGAAGATGCAAGGAAGATGCACAAAAAGAGTTGTGAGAAAGTCTCTCTATCTCTTAACAGTTAGTTCATGTGGGCCACCAATTAACTCTGCTGTAGGGGAGTACAACCAGGTGCAGGATAGATAAATCTGAAGCTTTTATTTTCTACACATGGATGGTACATTTCCTGGACTCTCTGCTAGAGTACAAATCAACCTAAAGAACTATAGAAGGAAACAGTTGTAACTTATAGGTTATCTGATAGTAGGAAACAGTGTAACTCATGGGTTATATGTTAAATAACATATTGCACAAGCATGTAAGGATGAAAAGGATACATTGTATAAGGCACACGTCATATAAGGTACTCGTTAAAAAGCAATTTAATAATTTTCCATTACAGCAGGTTGTCCACTGATCAGAAGGTTGGTGGTTCAATCCCTGCCTCCTCCCTCTGCGACACCTCTAAAACTATTAGATTTTAGAAATGCTATACAAAGGGGTGTGACAGTTACAACAAACAATACCTGGAGGATTACATTAAAAATGTAATCCGAAACAATTACTAATTACCTTCTGAAAGAGGTGGATAACTGAGTTTACTCATTTTTATTTGAGTTTACCCCCCACTTCAGCCCTGCTCCGTAGTTATCTCATAGTTGTACTAGCTAACTAGCCAAACTATTTACCGGCATAATAAACAGCATACAAACAGGAAAGAAATGTTAAAGTAGTAGACTGCTGCTACTGCTTCTTGCTTGATTTGATTGTCTGTATGGGCCAAGTGTGACATTGATGAGCAGCACCTTGTGCTGAGGATATTTTAACTTTTATATGAGCAAAATCTGCTAGAAAAACTTAGGTTGTTGGCGAGGTACTGTATTTCTAGCGATTCGTCTCTATGTGATTGGCCCCTTGGAAACCAAGATTAAAAATGTATCCCCTGTTTAGTGTGTTCTTAAAGAAAACTTGTTTCTTTTTTTTTTGTGAAGCAAATTCTGGCAATAGCCTAACCCATTTTCATAGCTGAAAGGCAGAACTTGCACTATACTGTGATGTTGTTCCCTTTCTGCTTTAAAGACAAATTATTTGCGAATTCCACCCAAAAAAGCAATGTTACACTAGAGACTTTTATAATGAATTGGGAAGATTAGCTTTGGTTAATCAGAGTGACCAGAGTGCTGTTGTGGGACTCGTGAAATGCTGTAATGTGTGGACACTCTGCATGTGCATGGTAGTACATTACATGGTAGTTATTATTTATTTTTAAATGCATTTGTATTTGTATGCATGTAATCCTGCTAATAATCCCCAGTTTTAAATAAATGCAACTGTAATCTAATTACACTTTTTTTTGTAACTGTAATGGATTAGTGTAATGGATTACAGATATCTTTTGTATCCTGATTTGGTAAATATGTAATCTTTTACTCCCCAAACCTGGTTACATGTCAAAATATCCTCCTTACTTTGACATGAAACAGTAGGGTGACACAGGTATTATCGGTAACACCTGTGTCACCCTACTGTTTCATTTAAAAAAAAGGACTATTATATTCCATGGAAATGCCCTAAAGAACTACAGCATATATAGTAGTAAAAACAGTTTTAAGTCATTTTTAAATGCAATATTGAAGCAACTGCATGGTGTAAATGTTTCCGTTTTCCAAATTTTGCATACAGTATTCAATGGAAGTATTCCTGGTAGCTGTAAACTAAAGTGAATACTAGTTTGACTGCTGTATGGCAACAGAAAAAAAAGTTTGTGGGTGAGAGCAGGTACTATATACTGTTGAGGTTATAAAGTGCAGACCTCAAACTAGACATTTTATTAAACCACTAACAACTCAGGAAAAACAGGTTGCGCACTTCCTGAAACACAAAGTTTCTGCATTCTGCTCAGCAGTCAAGAGTATTTCCGGTTATTAGAAGTGAAAAAAAACTGTTGTGCCAATAAGTTTCATGTTCCCCAGAAGCCCCACCTTCTGACATTCTTTTGCTCATTAAGTTTCATTTTGATCCATGTGTAACTGGCAGTTTTTTTGCTTTGTTGTACAGGAAGTACACGCCGCTGAGGTACGCAGGAACAAGGAGCGTCAGGCTGACCTCTCCGGCTGAAGATGCCTTCCATACTCCAGCAGCAGCTGCTGCTTCTGAAAATCTTCTGTGTCAAAGTTTTCCTGTTGTTCAGCATTCACCACTATCATCCCACAGTGCACCTTTCAGGACTCAAACTAGTAGTTAATCAGCACCGAATAACGTTACTCATCTGTTTCAGTTTTGGTAAAACACACACATTTGGAAGTGCAGAAACATATTCTGATAGCAGAGTCAAGAACAGCTGAAATAAAGTCCGATCCTGAGCCAAAGAATGTCTGTGTTGTGGGTTTTTTCTGAGAGCAAGAAGAGCTTGGTAATAACATAACATGAAGAGGTATAACTGAAAAAATATAGCTAACTAAAGGTGAATAGTCGGATAAAATCAATACCTTTCCACATTAGTTTACTGTGAGTTTGCCATGACTCCTACCATTTTATGGGGCAGAAAATGTACAATCTGGCCTGTGGATGGAGCCAAAAGGAAGTCCATGTTGTTACAAATATTGAAATGGTTTATCTTCTGCACAGTGACATTTTAAAGATGTTAAAAACGTGTTTATTTTCTCTGCCTTAATACACCTATTACTGACTAACTGACTTAAAATTCTGGCTATCTGACTATAGTGACAGACCACAAACTCCCACAAAAGGAATCCAAACTAGAGACACACTACTGTGAGGTTTATTTGCATCAAACAGGATGCAAGCAAAGGGGCCAATGAAAATGTTAGGGTTGTTTGTAATTGTTTTTTAAATCAAATAGCCCAAATAATAACATTGCTATACATGTATTTAATATACATTGGTTCAATTTTATATCACTGATTTAAATGAATAGTACCTCATGTAAAATATAAGATAGCAGCATATTATGCATTCAGTACTCATTACTTGGATTTCACCCCAGGTCCCCCCTTGTTGGCGCCCCTGGCCTGTAACACACCTCAGGACAAAATTTCAAACCTCCTTTCAATACGTCTTAAAATCAATCTCATAATAAATAAACACCATATTAGGTGTTGTTTTTCCTGCATTTTAAACCTGCCATAGATGTCATTGTTACCACAGAAAACCTTCTCAGTAGGGAAAGTGCAGGTGTTAGAGAGAGAGAGAGAGAGAGAGAGACAGACAGACAAAGGTGCACAGCAACAACAGTAGCAAAAACTACACTAATAGAACATGAAGAAGATGATAACCAATATCTCAGGATTAAAGATAAGATAAAAGATAAGATAGACTTTATTGATCCCATAGATGTCATTGTTACCACAGAAAACCTTCTCAGTAGGGAAAGTGCAGGTGTTACCAGTAACATTAATCATACCTGTTCTTATCATTGTCACAGCACTTTGGCACAGATCCAGCATAAACAGGACATATTGTATAGCAGCGAGAACTCGTAGTTAAACAAGTGACTCTAAATGTTTTCACTTCAGACGCATGAATAGCTTCATTTCCATAAAAGTTTACATAAAGGTGGTGGGTGACAGCATGTGCTGCACTTACTTTCTATAATAGTCTGACATGTTTGGTAGAAAACAGGTATGAGGAAAAAGAGGCCGGTGAAAGATGTTGGACAGGTGGTTGGTAGGTACACTGGAAAAACAATGTATTTAGGCTACTAGTTATTAATCACTGGTGGACTCAAAGGGGCAGCAGTAGGTGCCCCCATGTAAAACAATGCCCTTAAAAGTTCCCTCTTGGATGCCCCAATGGTAGATAAAATATAATAAAGTGCCCTGCAAGGCTTCCAGTGGACAAAACACGATATGGGTGCTGATCCTAACCATGACTAAGCTGTTTCACAATAAATGCAACTTTCTGTGCAGTGGTTTTTTCCCCTGCCCCTCCCTCCAGCCCGCAACATTATGTTAAAAGTATAATGCGGGCTGCAAAAATAGAATTATTAAAATTTCCTTGTTTCATATTCATTTTAAACTACCCCTTCATATAGTGTTAAAATATACATTTTTATTTATTTATTTTTAAAAATGTATTTCACCTCACAAAATAATGGAAAAAATGCCTGCGGTTGATAAGAGGAGAGCAGGATTTGGTTGCAAACAACAAAGATAATATAAAATTGTATAGAAACTGTAAGTTTGACGTCGGTCATGGAAATATTTTCAGAATATTGCGCTTTTATCTAGTATTTGAACATTGAAATGGCCCTCTATAAGATATGCCCCAAGCCACTTTGAGTTTGAGGGCCCTGGTTTACAGAGTGAAAGAGCCCATTTCCGCCAATGTGACTTACATTGTACATTTACTTACATTATTTTGAGAAAGTTTCTTATTATAATGACTTACAGATTTTTTTTTCATTGGTGAAAATGGGTTTCCATACGATCATGATGTTACAGAGTGGTGCTTAACTTATCTAATATGATGTATAGCTGAGTACAGACCTTTTGAAAGTTACCCACTGCATACAGCATTAACTTTATTTACAGCTGATATGATCTTGCCTGTATGTTTTGCACATTGCTAATAAAGACGAGAGGAAAGAATCGATTAATCTGTCGATCAACCCAACCCCCCTCTTTTTTTATTTTTTTTATGTATACTTTTTCTATTTCATTTATTCTACCCTATTTTTGGTAGTTTTCTCGATTTATGTTTGTGTGAGCATTTGTGAATTCTTCTTGTTCTTGGAAGCTACGGAATTGTAACACTCAGATTATTGTAAACGCTTACAATGCATACAATCGGTTGGTCATTTTTTTCCATGAATCAATTAGCTGTTGGGTGAAAAATGTTGATCAGTGTTTCTCAAATGTCTTGTTTTGTCCACAAGTCAAAGATATTCAGTTTCCAGGACTAAAGACACAAGTTTAGCTTTTCCTCTGAGTTCTTCGTGTATGCATCAAAACAAAAGGGAAAAAGATGGCCATCTAGCCCTCAAGTTACCATAAGAGTTGGCATAGCAACCAGTAAAACCCAGTAAGGGTTGCAGCACAGTAAATATCAGCTCAGTGGGAAAGCCCAAATGTTTGGCTGAAAACACCCCCTAAATATAGGTCCTGCCTCACAAGAGTCTCTAAAGATATCACATTACATATTGCTTGGTTCCCTCATTATTATTATATTATTATACAGAGTTCATTATTGACTCTATTCAGCTGGGTTTTCTGTGCTCTGATGCATGACTTCAATCTACACACTGTATGTTTTTATCCAGCCATTCAATTACAGATAGACTGAAAATGAACACAGAAAGAGGCCTTGGACATGCTGCACACAGATGCACCATATTTAGACAGTGAATGTAAAGCCTTGCAGTGTTGCCGCGAGTGTTGGTGCGCAGTGAAAAGGAGAATCCCTCCTGTCAGGACCGTGCTGGGGAAAACGCTCGACTAATCCTTGTTCCAGTGCCACCAAACATTACTAATTCTGGCTGCTCATTCTTCCCTACTCTCTGTAGCATATTTATTTTGGAGGGAGCGAGGGAGATGAGTTGGGTGGGTGTGTGGCGAGTGAGAAATAGAGAGAGTGCGAGCGCGTGGAGAGTCACACAGATAAAAGCAGAGTGCGGAGCTGGGAGGGAGGAAGGGAGGGGAGCCACGGGCAGATGAAAGAGGGAGAGATCAAGTGAGAGACAAAAGGTACGAGGTAGATGTGGCACAGGGAGCCAGGCGAGAGAAAGAAAAGTGACAGAGAGCAATAGAAGAGAGGAGCCCACCTCACCACCCCTACTTAAACCCTCCTGAGCCGAGCCGAGCCGAGCCGGGCTGCGTGATACCACCGTGCTGATTTCCCCCCTGACAGCTCCCCAACAGCCTCCGCCACGGAGCCCAGAGAGCACAAGAGCTGGCTGTGCAGGAGCAGGAGCCTGTTGCCTGGATACCCCGTGCTGTCGCCGCGGCGGAAAGCCAGGGTTGAACCGTGTGTGTTTGCTGGCCGGTGCTGCTGCCATGGGAAAAACACAGCTGGCTGACTGTCTGGATGGCACGCTCGCTCGCTGGCTGACATCGCACGTATGAAATAAGGACGGAATCACCCGGATACCGGGGGCTTTGAGGAGAGGAGGTGGCAGGCTAGGGGGGGCGGGACAGGGTTACACTCGGCTTTGGATGATGAAGAAAGCTGTTTGGTAGAGAGGGGGAGAAACCAGAGAAGATTACCTTGGCCACCGAGTGAAGGAGGGGTACCCAGGGGGAGACGAGAGCCGAGGAAGGGGAAGGCTGTTCGGGGGAGGAGAGGGGAGTGGAGTGGGGCTGGCTGGGTTAGTTCTGAAGGAAGGGGGGAGGTAGTGGTTAGCGCGGTGTGTGGAAGCCATGCAGATCCAGTCTTCTGGTCCACAGTCCAAAGCCTCCAGCTTCATCCTCAGTCAGAGATGTGTGCTGGACTCCAAAATGGAAATTCACCGGTATGTACCTGCTGCCACGAGTCCTTCAAGTTCTTCTGTGTGTCTTCATTAACCTCTGTCTATATTGTCCATCAGTGAGCGGTCAAGGCCTCATGTCTCACAAATGAGTGTTTCTGTTGATGTTCATGGTTTCATTAAAGAAAAAAAAGGAAAAAGCCAATAGCCCTTTCTTCACTCTTTATCCAGATTATAAGTACCAACCTGCTGTGGAGCAGAGTTCGTCCCTCCTCTGCAGTGATAACAGAAGAATTATTGCACAGAAATGTATGATTCAGTACAGTACGATTTTGGGAAACACTGATTCACCATTTTATGAGCCAAGCAACTAATCTATTACTGAAGAAAATGATCGACAGATTAATTGATAAAGAATATAATTGTTAGTTGCTGCCCCCATCCACACAATTAATGGTCAGAGTGTTTTATTTAAAACCCACTTGCAAAGAGCAGAAGCTCTAGTGTAGTTCTTTTGATAGTATGATATTTGAATCCTGGATTTCTGGATTCTGGCCTTGAGAGAAAGTTGTTTCTGTTTGAGTCAGCTCTGAAGGATTTCCTTTCTCATGCCTGTGTGCCTGTCTCCCCGAGGGCTTGGTTAAGATATAGCTAGCAACATCGCTAACTTCTACATCGAGCAGCTGTAAGGTAATGTTAAGCAAGCAGACATTGCTTAATTATTGATGTGGTTAGCTAAAATGTCAGAAAACATCTTTCTTTGGCTCAGTGGGCCAAATGTTAAGTTCACTTGGAAGGGAGTATTCCCTTTGGCTTTCAGTTCAGAAAAACGGCTGGTAGTGAGTGTAGTAAAATAAGCATATCCACCTAATCGTGTCTGAATGGACCACGAGACCATCGTTCAGCCAGATGACCTGTGTTCGAGCCCAGCAAG